CCGAAATCTTTACTCAGAAGTACCGGGTTGGTGTCCGGCGGTGGATAGTTTCCACCAAAGTTTTTACTATTGTTTATTTTATTGTACTGTGCTGGTTACTTTTTGTTGTTGTTATTGTACTGTGTTTTTGCAGGACCATATTGTAAAACAGCGGTAAGATCTCGCCTGTATATGTTATCCTGCCTAAAGATGTTTTAAATAAATAAATAAAAAAATAAATTTAAAAAAATATATATATATATACCTATATATATAATATATATAGGCCTATATATACTTATATATTGTTTTTGAAGGGTTTTGTGATGATTGTACTGTTAACCATTCTTATTAGGCTATATTCATTTTTTATTTCATAATTGTCTTAAACATGACTATTTTTAAAAACAGACTTTTACATCTTGTCTAAATAGTGTCCTGTATAAATATGTTTAAAAAATACAAAATTAATCAATTAATTAATTAAATAAATAGCCCTATTTTGTGTTCTGGATGCGCCGTCTAACTGGGTTATGGTGTGGGGCTTCTCTGGGAATGCGAGTAACCAATTAAGAAGAATTTGTGAGTGTAGAAAGGTTACCTCATTTCTGTAATTTCGCAGTGCGACAGGAACTAGTGTGTGAAATGTTCTACACTCACAGATTCTTCTTTTTTAACGAAAAGTAAAACTTAAGGCAAAATACTGTAAAATGCATTGCTGTGAAAACCAATGAAGACTGGGTCTCGGTTGAAATGGATCGATAGGCCTAAGCTGTTTTCTGGTATGCAATCTTGTGCCTTGCCTGTGGATTTGTTGACCGCTAGAAATAAATTCAATGTCATCGCAATATTGATGCACTCTGGACAGCCAATCAAAATGGTATAAATGTGACGACACAAGCATTAGTAATTATGAGCATGTTATGAGCATGAGTAATTAGCTTAGGATCCTGTTTAAAATTCCTATTAAATTAACTACATCCGATGACATGGCAAGTGATCTACAAAGATTAAAAAAATAAGCAGTTCACACCATATTCTCGTGTAGTCCTAGTCATCACCAGGTTTTTTCATATGTTGCCGTTGCCTTCCGAATCTCGTTACGTTGCTATGAGCTTAGTAAATATTAATACTATTAATTTTCTGATATAAGATTTTTTTTTCATTTCATTTATTTTGTCTCAATAAAATACATAAAAAACAACAACCGGTTACAATACAACAAAATAAAAGCATAAAAAATTTGAAACAGGCCGAGACAGGATTCCTAAAAGTGAACCAAATCACTATCATGTAGGTCTCCTAATGCACTATTCCGATTA